TATAGGTTAGGGATTAATGGGGGGTGGGGGTGTTGGGGGTCACAGGACAAATATAGAAAGATAAAAAGGGACAGAGGGAAAGAGAAGAATGAAACAGGGACAGAAAGGATACAAAGATTTAAAATAGACTGACAGACAAAAAGGCAAAAACATGAAAGGAAGAAAGTAAAAATGTAAATCAAAGAGAAAAGGTGGAGAAAAAAAAGACCAAAAAAAAACGTAAAATGAAGTGTAACAATCCGGTAAGACAACGATAATGACACTGTTGTGGTCACTCACTTCCTGTTACTTGTAGGTAGGTGGACGAGCTCTGTCCAGTCCCTGCTGCGTTAGTGGCCAGACATATATAGTCTCCCTCGTCACTACTCTGGGAGTTATAGATGGTCAAGGATGGACTACTGACCGTAGCGCCACCAAACTTGGTGGAATCGATGTAGACTGAGGTCGTGACCCCATTGATGATGCGTTGCCAAGCGATAGCAGTGGCGACCGGAGTGGCACTGACCGAACAGTCTATGGTCACAGTATTGGAGGTCAGTACACTATAGCTGGACTGACTAATGACCACTACTGGGATGGCTGGTGGAAAGAAAAGGTACAAGCACATGCAAAAATTGTGTATCATTACAGCATTATTTTAAACCATGCAAATCAAGTATTAACTTTACTGTAAATCATGCCATTCTAGTGGTCTAGCAATACCTTTAGCCATGCAACTAAGTACAGTACTAGCATTATTTTAAACCATGCTGATGAAGTATTGAAGAAACCTGACTAAATAGCATTTATCAATATCCTTTACTGTAAGTGTTTTAAATTCTCTAGCTGTTCTTCTGTTTTAATCAAAAGCACTAGATAAATAATTCTAGCCCCTCAGATAGGGATATCCCACAAGATATCCAGTTCTAGATTTTTCTATCTTGTCCAATCTGTCTGGCACCTTTAGGTAACATTTTGCAGAATTTTCACACAGCAATGTACGTATTTACCAGCACACTAAAGCAAGTGATACACTTGAGTAGTTTTTCGAACTGAAAGGTGCGTGAAAAAATTCAATGTGGAACATCTGTTGGATTATGTTATAGAATTTTAGCCCTTGACTGAGATAACCCAATCTCGCTTGGTTAGAAGTAATAGATTTTATCAATGAACTTAGTGACAGATCTACCGACCAATATGAAGTCGGGGTTGGAAGGTCGGGGGCGCACCTTAGCATAAATGGGAAAACATACAAGGGTTTTGAAAAAGCTTCCCAGCCTATTATTGAGGTGGGGGAGGGATATAGCGGTTACTTTCGTAAGTCCATTTAACCCCTCTAGACCCACCACTGTCTAATGATTTTTATGTTTTTAAGGAAAATTCAATATATCCTGAAGTTTGAGAATATACAGTAAAATATGTATTAACCCTTTCACCCCTATGTAACTTTAGTAGACTCTACCAGGCATTGGTATGGATGAAGCCATTATGGTCTACAGTGGTGAAAGGGTTAACTCTTTCACCCCTAGCCCTGAAGACATATTTGAACTCTTCCAATTCAAAGATTGGAATAGTTCATTATGAATGACTTAAGAGCCCAACCTAAAGAAGTCTAGAGAGCGGTCTCTTTATTCAGGTGAACTCTTAATACAGGTTCAGTTCAAAATGAAATCACTACAACGCCGTAAATTAAAATTGGCCCCTTAACACAGGTGGTCTCTTATGGAGGTGGTCACATGAGAAGGTTTTACTATACTTGTATTAACATCAGTATATACCACTTTAACAAGATGATAAACATTAGTTATATTTTTCAATTAACATAATTAGGACTGCTCTTTTTTATTTTTTTTATTTAAGGAATAATTTTTTTGAAGAAATGTTTTTTTTCTTCAAAATAATTTCCTCCAAAAAACAATTTCTCTTGAAGATTTTTTTTGTAATTAGTTTAAAAACAAGTGAATACAAGGAAGCTTATATTTTAAAGTCCTAAATATTTAACTAGGAAAAAGTGGTAAAAATAACTTACTTCCTGTGACGTAGAGGTACGTAGCGGAACTTGTCCCCGTACCCACGGAGTTTGTTGCCGTACATGTGTAATAACCCTGATCGTTGTTATCAGCGTTGTAAACAATAAGAGCGGGATTGCTGACCAATGACCCTCCATAGTTGACCCCGTCGATACTCAAGGTCGAGGTCACACCATTGTGTGTAAACCTCCAGCCAACCGATGTTACGGAAGGAGTTCCGGAGACGGTACATGGGATGGTCTTGGTCAGGCCAGTTACCACGGTGAAGTCGGTCTGGCTGATGGTTGCCGCGGGGATACCTAGAGGAAGGGCAAAGATGCTACATCTCAAAAATTTCGATTTTAAAACAAAATATCAATACCGTAAATTCGTTTTTCAACTTGATATATACAAATAGAAAACTTTAATTAAATTCATGAACTTTAAATTGTGTTAAAAAAAAAGGTTGTACCGGTAATAAAAATGAGATGAATTAATACACTAGTTGAAGATACTAAATTCAATCTAAATAAAAATCTTTATTAATAGTTTTTAATACACACTATAATCTGCTTTTCATGTACATCAAGTAGAAATGATTTAAAATTTTCATTTTAGAATTGGAAAAAAGGATTTGATAAAATTATTGTATGACTAGTGTGACATTATTTCTCATTTCTTATGATTTTGATTTTTAATTTTAAAGTGACATTTCACTTTTAAAGAACAATTGCGGGATATTTGTAATCAGGAATTGAACTTTTTTTTGTGTAACTTTCATGAAATATGAATTCCAGTTACTTTTAAAAAATATTTTTTTATTTCAAATATAAAATGCAAATGTTGCCAAACTCTAAATGTATGAAACACTTATTTAAATCTACTCCACAATCAAGTACATCTATAACCAAAAGTAACAAATTCTCGAAAGTTTCCAGATTTTTAAGACTAATAAGCGTCTACGTAAGAGACAGCCAATTAGGCTGGGGGTCAAAGTTTGAAAGTGAAGAATATTTTCCTTGTTGGTATTCTGAGGAACTGTTTTAGGACAAAGAGGTAAGGAGCACATTAGGAAGAAGGGAATTGCTAAAGAGTGAATAACACATATGTAAAAAAAATCTTGTGTTATTAATTACAACAGCGGAGATTTGACATTATAGCCACAATCAAAATTACAATGTACCTTGGCCATACAAATAATGGAGTGAAAACTCATGTACATTTCTTGCCAACTCTACCTATTTAGGAGGGAGACTCTCGATTATTGATCCGTAAATCAAATATTTCCAAGCAGTGAATTTGCTAACCTATTCCTACATTCTAAGAGCTCTATTCCGTCTTTTCGTATTGCAGAGTTATCTTCTCTTGTGAGCAGGTATCGATTGTTAGGTCATTTGTTTGTGAGAGTAACGTCATAAATTTTTGAGAAAACAACATAATTTTCTCACACAACCAAATGACGTAACAATCAATCCCTGCCCACAAGAGAAGATAACTCTGCAATACGCAAAGACGGAATAATGAGTTCATTTGGTCGTAACTAAGGGGGTATATACACATATTTTTTTTTTTAAATTTGAGCATGTGGAATCTCCCCCATGGAAATTTAAAAAAATTGGCAAGCAAGCATGAATTCTTTTTCATTGTTTCGCAATTGCCACAATGAAAATTTTTGGATATCAAAATTATACAGAATCCAAAATTATCTGACTTTCTTAATTGAAAGCAATTTTTTTGGTAAAAATCTTGAGTTATTAGAGGTTTGCTAATTTTAACAAGAGAGGATCGGTGTATCAGAATATTTAGGTCAATCTTATGACTTTATCCGGTGGTCATTACACGTTTTAGTTTGGAATTAATTGTGAATGTTTTTCAAATGAACTGTTTCCATGTTCTTATTAAGCAGTGTTTGCAATGTTGAAGTAATTTCAATAGAAATTTGATCTTATATTTAATTGTCTGAACGTAATTTTCTTTTTTTCTTTTCTTTTCTTTTACCAATCCTATTGTGTTAAATTAAATGAAATAAAAATTGAGAGGAATGTATGAAGGTGAATACATTTCAGTAATGTTAATCAAACTTTGAAACTTCAGTGCTTCTCAAACATTGGGTAAAAGGTAGAAATTTAATAAAAAAAACACAATGAGGATAAGGGATATTTTGTTACTGGACAGTGGTCAATAAGGGATATTTTGTTAGTAAAGGGGTCAGTCCCAGAAGGAATTTTTGCTACAAAAAAACAGATATAGATATCTAGGTAAAATTGGAATATCACTTATATAAATTTATGTAGCAGAACTGGACTTAGTTTCAGATGGTCACAGTGACCTAATTATCGTAGATTTGCACATCTATAGTCTACTTTAATGAAGAGTTACGTCAAGTTTCATGGAACATCTCTAGATATCTCCAAAAGTTTCATAATTATGATTCAGGAAAAGTTCTTAGTTCCATTGCGTCGGAAGAGCCCACAATTTGGACAATTATACCAAAAAATAAGTGTTATATTTACGAAGTTCCATTTAATGTTACCTGGTAAAAGTGATTTTGTGAAAATGATAATACACCATTAAAGAATAAGCGAGAAAGGAAAATGGTATCAATGTAATATTGACACCTAAGTTTGGAGAGAAAAATTGAAGCAAAGAATTAAGGTTATATTATGTCGTGAAAAATGAACGAACAATGTAAATAAGATCCCCTAAACCAGGAATACTCACAAGGAAAATCATTAGGCACCAAAAACCGAAAAGGGGGCGTAAACACAGCCACTTGTACAGGAAAATGGCCGCAATTTTACTGTATAGATATTTCACGTCAGTCGGAACACTCAAACACACTCGTGTTAATCCGGTAACAATAAAATCAATATTAATTGTTATGTGTTATGTGCCTTTTAAAAAAGGAGAAATGTTTGAGTTGAACAAATATTACAGGGAATTATTTTTGGTAAATCTTATCAGAAAGACTTGTCTTATAATAAACTATGTACCGGGGTAGTTCTGTTCAATTTAGAAATAAAATCATACAAATAGAACCTTCTACTTTTCATAAGAGACACGACCCCCCCCCCCTTTTTCAAAATATCTTCCTTCAAGAAATAATTTGTTGTGAGGAGGGGGGAGCTGGGGATAGAGGGAGAGGGATTTCATCTCTTTTGAAGAATTTCACCAATAACATTCTCCCTATGTCTCCCCCTTTTTTGTGTATTTTTTAACAACTTTTTGTGTTGTACATTTGTACAATATACCGTAATATTTACATTCTGTATGCTTAGACCCATTGACAAAAATTACATTCATTAATGCATAACACAGGTGTTCATAGAATCTCAGCACGGGGAACTGATAGTAACCTGATCACACTGCGTAGTAATACACTACAAAAACAACTCACTCGGAACGACCGACCTAGATGCTTAATTCTTACATCTTAAAATATTATTGAACTGTGCTTGGTGAAATATCCACGTATTCACGTGTCCTGTGCTACAAATAAACATTGAATATGGAACTACATTTTGTTGTGTTATTGTTGTTGACGGTTGCTAAGATCTCTCACGATAGTGTCACATTTCCCCGCGAAAAAACACTGTTCTCGCCACTGCGTTGCACCCGTGTATAAGCAGGAACAAACCCTGTTTATTTGTTTTATTCGTTGTTATATCGATCCACTGAAAGGATTCGTCAATGTAAATATAAGGAATGATATTTATTTTTTCAACATTTATGAGGTCATAACAACAATGGGTTTTTGGACATATTTTACATGAATCGCTAACGCGATTCATTCAATATGTCCATAAACCCATTGTTGTTATGACCTCATAAATGTTGAAAAAATAAAAATCATTCCTTAACTGTAATCAGTGTAAATTTGTTATATTTTTTTCATGCTATTTATTTCTTTTATAAAGAATATCCCGGCTTCATTTTACTTCTAGCTTATCTCCCCCAAGTTTGAGAACTTAGGATCAGACATCAAAAGGATCAAAATTATTAGAGATGATTTTTTTTCTAAACAAACCAATATTCTAGAGTTGGGGGGGGGGGGGGGGGCAGGATATAAAGGCTTTTGCCAGCGTCCAGTATTATTATTATTATTATTATATTATATAGCAATCAATGGTGATATTTTCCCCAAATAAATTTCATGTTGGATGCTTGAAAAAATAATTTTAACATATATTAAATTTTGTTTTCTTGATGAAAGGCAAATGGGGCAAGGATAAAACAGGAAAAATCAGTGATATTTTTTTTTAGCAAATTACTGTGAAATCCGATATTTTTGTGGGGCCATAATTTCGTGGTTTTCGGACAAAACACCATGAACTTGTGGATTACGAGTACTCCCTGTAACGGAGAATCGCTTTATATCAAACTTGTAATTATTTCATGGACTTATGAATTCGTGGATGAAGACTATACCCACAAAATCAACAAATTATCCCACAAAAATTATTGATTTCACAGTATTGTATTAAATCTTATTTTCAACTTTTTAGTTTTATCAAACGATTAGTAACACATTTTTAAGATGGACTGTAAATCTTGGTTTGTTACATTCCATCATAACACACATCAGAGTTTGTATACTAAGGAGAAGAGTTACTGTATTCGGTCTAAAAAGTGCCCTGGGCGATAAGATATTTGGGGGGGGGGGGGGGG